CAGCTTCTGCACCATATCAGGTAGTTAGATCACTCCATCAGGTTGCATATGACGAAGGAGATAAGTACCCACTGGCAGCTGATAGAGTTTTAAATTCTTTTTATATGGATGATTTGATGATGGGAAGTAATAGTGTTGAAGAGGGAGTGGAAATCTGTAAACAAATGGTAGATTTATTAGGAAAAGGAGGATTTGCATTGCAGAAGTAGAATAGTAACAATCAGCAACTATTAGATAGAATAAGTTCAATATATACAAGTGCAGTAGTACAGCAAACAGGTCAAATAAACATAAAAAATGAGTACACTGAGAATCAGGACAAGGATGACATTGGAGTTAAGGAAAAAGAAGTAGATTATAAGAACGAAGGGAACATAGTAGTTAAGGGAAAATAAATAGATAATAAGAATATAGAAATTAAGCTAGATAGTACTATAAAAATTTTGGAATTTACCTGGTACCGCCACGAAGACTGCTTTCAGTACTCGGTAAATCTTACACCGCTGACGACCGCACCTGTAACAAAAAGGCTAATAATATCAGATATATGTAGCTCGTTTGTTCGGCCCATTAGGATGGTTAGCTTCTAGTGTGGTATTAGCAAAGATGTTCATACAAAAATTATGGCTCGTAGGTGTATGTTGGGATAAGGAATTAACTGCCGATTTAATATCAGAGTGGAATACTTACCGCGAAGAGTTATAATTACTCACCAAAGTTTAGGTACCTCGTTGGCTTGGTACAAGTTCATCTGATGACCTGAATTGCACGGTTTTAGTGACGCCTCTAACGCAGCGTACGCTGCCGTCGTTTACTAAAGAATAATTGATATCTCAGGCAAAATTTATCTGTCGTTGTTAGTGGCTAAAACAAGAGTAGCTCCCATCAAACAAATTAGTATTCCTCGATTGGAGTTATGTGGTGCTGTACTTTTATCAAAGTTAGTGACAGAGACAGCAGTGGTTTTAAATATTTCAAAGGAAAAAATCTTTGCATGGACTCATTCTACAGTAGTGCTATCGTGGCTTAACTGTGACCCTAGCAGGTGAAAAACATTTGTAGCTAACAGGACTTCGGAAATTTTGGGCGCTTTGAATTCATCGCAATGGTTTCATGTGCCGACCATGGAGAACCCAGCCGACTGCGCTTTAGGGGGAATACTACCCGGTTCATTAGTCGGTAATGAGTTATGGTTTTCGGGACCATCATTTCTGAAAAACAAATTAATTGAGTACAAGAGGCCAAAGGATTTAAAAACAAATTTAGAACAAACTATAAAGGCGCACACAGCTGTAGTTCCAGAGCATGTGTTTTTCGAAAATTATTCTAGTCTGCAAAAATTAGTAAGAGTTGTTACGTATTGCCTTAGAATTTTAAAACGGGAAAAACACGACAGTAAATATTTGAAAGATCACGAAATAGAAGCAGCATTACAAACTTGTATAAGGAAAACACAAATGGATTCATTCACAATAGAATTAAAGGAAAAAGGGTGTTTAAATTTAAAAACAAGTAAACTAAAATCACTCTGTCCTTTTCTGGGCAAAAATGGTATCATGCGAATTCGCGGACGACTTGGGAAGTCAGAACTAGATGACCAAGTAAAAAATCCGATAGTCCTACCACATTCAAATCATTTGACTCATCTTTTAATCGCAGATGCGCATGAGAAGACACTGCATGGTGGTCCTCAGTTAATGGCAAATTATTTAAGGTCAGCCTATTGAATAATAGGCGCTAGATCTCTAGTCCAGCAATATGTTCGCAAATGTGTAACTTGTGCAAAACAGAGAGCTAGTGTCAAAAACCAACTGATGGGTGAACCATCGCATCGGTTCGATGTACACCAGCAAGACCATTTTTATATAGTGGAGTGGATTAAGCTGGAGCGACCAAAGGACGTGGGTATCGTTCTTATAAGGGCTACATATACCTTTTCGTTTGCATGTCCACTCGCGCTATTCACTTAGAGGTCGTAAGTGACATGAGCACACAGGCATTTTTAGCCGCTTTTAGACGATTTGTGTCGCATCGAGGTCACTGCGCTAAATTGTGGAGCGACAACGCCTCCAATTTTATAGGTGTCTCCAGAGAATTGCAACAGTTGGCATCTATTCAGCCAGCCATAGCAGAATATTTGGAAGCAAACAACACCGAGTAGCATTTTATTCCGCCTTATGCCCCCTGTTCAATACACGAACATAAAAAATTTAATTGTAAATTTGTCGTAAAACTTTACCTTTAAAAGGCAATATGTCAATACAAAACGATCAATACAAAACGACGGAAATATTATTCATAATCCTACCCAAATAGCAACGTTTTTAATGACTTTTTTATTAATATTAGTAATGGAAATAATTTACATGCGCCAAACGAACAATATCAAAAAATATCAATAAATGTTAATGATAAATCAATATTCTTGATACCTACTTCAGAGCTTGAAATCATAAATATAATTAAATCATTAAATAATACCAAAGCTGTGGGGTATGACTCTATATCTACAGAAATAATTAAAGCAAGTGCTCGTGTCATTGCCCCCATTCTTAACCATATAATTACAAATTCCTTGATCCAAGGAATATTTCCAGATAAATTAAAACACTCTATTATTAAACCATTGTACAAGAAAGGTGATAGAAAAGAACCTAATAACTATCGTCCTATTACGCTTGTACCTATTATATCAAAAATTTTTGAAAGGGTTTTTTACAACAGGTTAATTAAATTCCTTAATAAACATAATATTATTAAAAAAAGGACAGAATGGTTTTCAACACAATAAATCAACTTCTTTAGCAGCATTCTCTCTTGTAAAAAATATAACTGGATACATTGATGAGAAAATTCCGGTGGTAGCCATATTCTTTGATATGAGTAAAGCTTTTGATTTTGTAGACCATGGGATTTTGCTCACCAAATGCGAAAAATATGGCATTAGAGGTGTAGCTTTAGACTGGATAAAAAGTTTTCTAATCAATCGTAAACAATATGTTGAAATCACTACTTTAAATGACAGACATGAATGCAGTGTGCACAGATCTCCATCCAGGGTCAATAAACATGGAGTTCCACAAGGGAGCGTACTAGGCCCCTTATTATTCTTACTGTACATTAATGACCTACCAGATTCAATAAACTGTCAAAGTGTTCTATTCGCAGACGACATATCTATAATAGTGCCATATAAGGATCAAGATACATCTCACGAAATTAAAATAAGTAAAGAGGTACAATCTGTATTAAGATGGCTAAAAGCAAACAAATTAAATGTAAATTTGTCAAAAACAAAATTCATAAAATTTTGTACGAATAAAAGTAAACGCCCTGATAATAATATTAACATAAAAATAGAAAATGATAGTATAGAAGAAGCTGACAGCATAAAATTTCTGGGTATAACTTTGGACAGATTTTGTAATTGGAAACAACATGTAAATGATGCTTGTCTCAAACTAAATAGATTTTCCTATGCCCTTAGAAAGCTTCGGACCGTATCAGATGAAAAGACTGCAGGTATAGCGTATAAAGGCTATGTAGAATCAATCCTTAGATATGGGTTAATAATATGGGGGAATTCTACTGATGTTGGTCAAGCATTCATTGCACAAAAGAAATGTTTAAGAGCTATTTGTGGAGCAAGTCCACTTGACTCCTGTAAACCTTTATTTAAAAAACTTAATTTACTGACATTAACCTGCATGTATGTTCTTGAGGTATCAGTCTTTGTAAGGAAGTATAAGGATTTTTTTTAAATTCAAGGGCGATCATTTTAGTAAATACAGACCAAGAGATCCAACTAAAATAATGACTCCATTTTGTAGAACAGCCTTAAATAAACTGAATGTATATCATATGTGCATATCAGTTTTTAATAAACTGCCTAGGAGTCTACGGGAACTTCCAATAAAATATTTTAAAAGTAAGTTAAGAAAATGGCTAGTGGATGAGTGTTTTTATACGATACAAGAGTTCATGCAACATAAAACTAATGTATATGATTATTTGTAATTTTAAATAAAATGTAATATAATAAAAAATATAATATAATAATAATAATATATAATAATAATAACATTTTCTATATAATTTATGATAAATAATAACATAACTTGACATTTTTGTAAGTAACATAATAGTATTTTAATTGTTTTATGTAATTATAAATATTTGCATGCCTATTAAAGGCAGAATATAGCTTGAACTATGCACCACTGTTAAATCTGGTACCACCTGTATTCTGTGCAAATAAATGTTTCTTTCTTTCTTTCTTTCTTTCTTATGATATGTAAGTTATAATTTAAGTTGTTACTGGCAACATTATGTACCTTGAAAGGAAGTAAGCCATTCCATTCGGTTTTTTAGTAGTGTCACAGTGTGCGCTAACGTCTTTACCTTTATTAAAGGCTTTATTTTAAAGGCTTTATTTTATCTTGTCTAGCCTTTCATTTTGAACATGCTAAGTAATCATTCGAAAAGTAAAGTGTGATACAGTGTATTGTTGAAGAGTGCAGTGCGTTCTACTTGGGACAGTGTCCTGGCTTTGAGGCGGCGGAACCTCACCCAGGTTATAGTTTGGGTGATTTGTTGGTTTGCCCTGCTATTGCACCTTAATATTCGTCCATTTTCGTCAAAATATTGCCGGGGCATTGCTGAGTCCGCAATATTGCAAATTTTTTTACACAAATTGTGTAACTGACGGTGAACCGAAAAAGAAGTTTTTGTCTGTGATTTTACCTACCTTCACTGAAAAATAAATTTATTTCCGTTCGCCATATTCGTCTATGGCGAGCAACTCAACAAGGCGTTCATCCGGAAGTGTCAGTGTCACTGTCAATTGAATTTGACTTTGACAGTTCGATTTCTAGTAAACAACGGCTCGACTTCATTTGAAGAATAAAATAGGGTTTGTGATTGTAAATTTCAAAAAAGAAACGTAAAGGAATAAGGCCAATAATAAGTTTAGTGCATTTTGGTGTTGGTGTTGCGCAATCATGTCGGAGCTAAAAAAGTTAAAAATTGCGCGGGCGCATTGCAAAGGAGCGTTGACGCGAATTGAAAGCTTTGTTCGCGAACCGGCTAATATTGCTTCAGCAACAATAGACATTTTAGAAGCTTGTAAAGATAAATTAATTTCAGTTTTAAAACAATATGAAAGTATTCAGTTGGATACTTTAAGCCTAGATGAAGAGGACTCTGAGGATATAGGTGAGATGGAAGATAAGTATTATATGACTCTTGGTAACATAAATGAAGCAATTAAAATTCTTAATAAATCAGAGCCCTCTCAATCTAATTGCATGTCTTCGTCTAAATTACCTAATGTGGAAATTTCCACATTCGATGGTAAAAATTGTACAAAATTTAAACCATTTTATGAATTGTTTATTGCTGTCATCGACAATAATAGGACTTTATCGGATACCCAAAAGTTATTTTATCTGCACAAATATTTATTAGATGAAGCCTTATCAGTAATTGTTAACATGCCCTTAGTAAATAAATCATATCAGAAAGCACTAACTTTGCTTAAAAAACGGTTTGATAATAAGACACGTTCTATATGTAACCATATAAATATACTTTTGGATATTCCACCTATGCTCAAAGGGACAGCAGCCTCAATACGGACCTTTATTTCTCAAGTACAGCAGCAGTTACACGCTTTAAATTTTAATTTGTTTGGTTTTAATTTGTATCCTCAATAGGAAACTAGATTCATACAAAAATCGTGCCTTTCAGTTAGAGCGTGATCCACATATATTACCAGGTCAGTAGTAAGAGCTGCAAATGTTTCCACATAATCCATTGTATTGTGTGATTTTTGTAAAATGAAAGATCATGCAATTTTTAATTGCCCAAAATTTAAGATGTTCACTATTGAGACTCGTTTATCTTTTGTCAAAGATCACAAATTGTGTTCTATTATTAGCTTAAAGGAATAATTCAGACAATGTCTGCAAATATAAATTTAAATGTAGAATTTGTAAAAAGCCGCATAATACTCTCCTCCATGTGGAGGAGGAGGCTAAGGTTTCACTGTTTTCAAATAGCAATGCTTCTAATGCAGTTACATTGTTGCCTACTGTTAAGGTAAAGGTTATTGACAGATATGGTCGAGACATTTATGTTCGAGCTTTGCTCGATAGTGGTAGCCAAGCCTCATTTGTGACAATCATCAAGTAATATCATTGGTATTGGCAATAAAATCACAGTAATTAATCAAACTATTAATTTATCTCTAAGGTACTTCTGTGTATAAAGATATAACATTTAATGTAAACTGTTGACTCAATTACGACACCCGTACCTCAAAATTTTGTTCATATTACGAAATCAAACATTCCACAGCATATATTCATCAGATGATCAGTTTAACATTCCTTCAGAAATTTCAATATTGTTAGGAGTTGACGTTCATTTTAATTCTTTGTTAAATGGATATGTAAAGATTTCAAATGGTCCTCTGTTACAAAACATAGTTTTTGAATATGTTGTAGCTGGTAAGATTGAGACTAAAAATAAAAACTCACATTTAGAGTCTAACTTTGTTATATGTGATGAAAGAAAGCTAGAAAATGTGATGGAAAATTTTTAGATAAGTGAAGCATTACCTCAACCTATAACAGGCATTACAAGTGAGTTGCGTAAATCTGTCACTTTTGAGCATAACAGATTTTCAGTTGACATGCCCCTCATCTGTTCAAAAGATGAGTTGCTACTTGGGAACTTTTTTTCGATTGCTTGGCAAAGGTTTTATCTTTACAAAAAAGGCTCAAACAAAGTCCTATGATTTTTATAATGTATAAAGATTTTATACAGCAATATGTGGCGATGGGACATGCCAAGGAGATCGATATAAGTACATATGATATTAATAGTGGCTCTGTTTATTTTTGATCACACTACCCTGTCTTCAATGAAGGTAGTAATACAACTAAATTACGAGTGGTTTTTGATGGAAGCATGAAAACAAAAAATAAAATTTCTTTAAATGATGTTATGCTGAATGGGCCTGTAGTGCAGGGTGAGCTTTTCGATATTTTTCGTACTTATTTGTTTACATTAGTATGCGACATAGAAAAGATGTTTCGATGTGTTCTGATTAATGATCACCACACTATTCTTCAAAACATTCTTTGGAGAAATAACCCTGGCATGCCCATAATTTGCTTGCTCATCTACATTTTTGGCAACCCGTTGTCTCTTGGAGTTAGCGAACAGATATAAAAATTGTTATCCTTTGGCTGCAAAAGCGATAATATTGAACACTTATGTGGATGATATTCTCACTGGAAATGATGATATTGATGAGCTTCACTTGTTAAAATATGAATTAATAGAGCTATTAAAATTAGGTATATTAATTTACATAAGTGGTGCTCTAACCACCACCCTGTTCTTGAGGACATTCCGAATGAATGCAGATATTTTGAGGATTTAAATATTAATAGAGATTATGTTATTAAGGCATTGGACTTAAAATACAATATAGTGTCAGACCATTTTTATTTTGAAACCCCTCGTTGTGATGGGGAATTACTAAAACCAAACGGAACATATTAGGTTTCATTGGAAAAATCTTCGACCCCTTGGGGTTGATAGGTCCGATTGTAGTTTCAGCAAAATTAATAATGCAGGAGTTGTGGTCAATATGCATTGAGTGGGACACAATGTTGCCTCCTATGCACTTACTACGAGGGGAAAATTTTTACAGCGAATTAAAGTCAATGAATAAACTTATAGCACCCAGATATTTTAATAGTCATGATGGTGTATCTGTTTAGTTAGTGGGTTATGTCGATACATCATCAAAAGCATATGGGTGCTGCCTGTATTTACGAGTTTTAAAAACTAATGGGAATATTGAAGTTAACTTGGTGTGTTCTAAATCACGCGTTGCACCTTTGGCAAAAACACTCACCATACCTCAGCTAGAGCTAAATAGTGCATTGTTGCTAGCGCAGCTAGCAAATAGGGTTAGTAAAATAATTACATCCCGTTTAGCACATTCACTTCACTTATACAGTGACACCCAGATAGTGTTAGCCTGGATACAGTCTGGAAAAATAATGGCTAATACCTTTGTTAATAATAGAATTAAGCAAATTGTTGAACTTAATGACAGGTCATCATGGTCCTATGTAAAATCATTGGATAATCCTGCTGACCTAATTTCGAGAGGCGTAGACCCACAAAATTTACAAGGAAAAATTATATGGTGGCACGGGCCTGAGTATTTGTCAAAATCAGATTACAGCCACAGTTCTGATTGTACTTTTAATTCTTATAGCAATGTTGATACATTAAATCAAGAAGAAAAGGACCACCATATGAATTACTTGAAAGGTACTCAAGTTTTAATAAACTTCAAATCATTATTGCATATATTTATAGATTTTATCTTAATGCTTTAAAACGGAAACAAATAATTAAAGACACTTTTCTCACTCCTACAGAACTAGAAAATGCTCTTCTGGTCATTATTCGTTCCGTACAAGAGCATCATTTTGCTGATGACATATATGCAATTAAGAACAATTAAAAATAAAGTCAGGTATTGCCAATTTGCACCCCATTATTACGATTACGATTATTGCGTGCCGGCCGTAGGTTAGTGCATAGTTCACTCTCACTCTCACAGAAATACTGGATTATCAGTAGCATTAGAGAGATTAAAAAAGTATTGCACAAAGGCTTAAAATGTATTCGGTTAAAGGCTGAGGCTGCGAAGCAACTTATGGGGTCCTTGCCGGCAGAAAGAATTAATGCTACTAGACCCTTTCAGCATGTTGGTATTGATTTTTGTGGCCCTTTTAGCATGAAGGTAGCCAGGATTCGAAAACCACTTGTAACTAAAGGATATGTTACTCTATATGTCTGTTTTGTAACCAAAGCTATCCACATTGAAACAGTATCAGATCTTTCTACTGAAACTTTCTTAGCATGTTTCAATCGCTTTATATCAAGGCGAGGCATGCCAACTAAAGCCTTTTGCGATAGTGAAAATACATTTAAAGGGGCTAAAAATCAGCTCAAAGAATTGTATGAGTTGCAAAATTCTAAATCTCATAGAGATGCTGATTATAATTACTGTAAAACAAATTGTATTACGTTTGTGTTTATTCCCAGTTACTCTCCAGAGTATGGTGGACTTTGGGAAGCAGGGGTAAAGAGTGTCAAGTACCATCTTAAAAGAGTAGTAGGCACCATGTGCTTGACCTATGAAGAATTTAATACTGCTATGATACAAATAGAAGGTGTTTTAAACTCTAGACCTCTGCTTTCACTTAATCCAAATTGTTAGCGACGCGCTCATTTGTAAATTTATGTTAGGCATTAAATTTACTGTGTATCTAAGGAAGCGAAGGAAAAGCAGTTACTGCTAGAAGCTGCTCAGCAGAAGGCAAACATTCAAATGGATGGAATATCGAACGGAACCTGGACGCCCAATTGGCAGCACTCAGCGACGAGAAAGAATATCAAGGATACGTTACATAATGGGAAGCTAGAATAGATCTAAGGGATAGACTACTTGTAACGCGATTAGCTAGCAATCCTATCTTAATGTATAACTCTAGGAATGTTAATTTTTACGAGGACGTGATACCACCCCAATCATCGAAATTGATAAAACTACCTATTAACGTCCATTGCATCATAAACGAATGCCTTACATCAGTGTCAAACAACTGCGGTATTATAAAGGTATTTAACCCGACTCCGCATGATATAATTTTCTCTCTAGACCGCCCAATATGTGCCGAGACGTATACATCGAGTCCTCTCATAACGTTCAACCAACCCCGCGTTACAAAGAAGTATTGTCACGTTTACGCACCGACCATCTAAATGTCGAAGAACGCGCTAATTTAGAACGATTATGTGCCAAATACGCTGACTTTTTTTATATAGAAGGCGAACAACTAACATTTACTAATAAAATAAAGCACAGTATCCGAACCACTGATGAGATACCGATATATACTAAAAGCTATCGGTACCCTCACATTTATAGAGACGAAGTAAAACAACAAATTAATAAAATGTTAGAACAGGGTATAATTCGTCCATTCAAATCTGCATAGAGCTCTCGCATTTGGATAGTTCCTAAATAAGTTAATGCTTCTGGCAAGACCAAATGGCGACTCGTAGTCGACTTTAGGAAGCTAAACGAAAAAACTATTAATGATAACCCAATCCCGAGTATATCGGATGTACTAGATAAGTTAGGTAATTGCCAATACGTCACATAAATATATATAAGTATATAAAGAAATTAAAAAAAATATATACCTACTAAGCTAAATCTCTTGAACTCACCTATCATATATATGCTTAGGTAATCTAAAAAAATTTAAGATTATGAATCATGGCAATTCAAAACTCATTTTGTGTAAGGGATTTTTCGTCAAATCGGTTTCGCTTGCGCTGCGCATTTGTTTAGTTTGTCACTCGTGCTGAGCTTGCTTGATGTGACGTCGATCGGTGTTTTAATTTTCGTAACGAGAACCAGTGCTTACGTAGAATATTCTTTCTTAATTATAAATTTTGATTGAATTAAAGACTGGCTGTAAAATGGGGCTCAAAAATAAAAACAACTATGCCAAATCACGGGAAAAAATCTCTCTGTTTGGCGTTATTTTGAGAAGAAAAAAAACAGTGCAAAATGTTTTTGTGTAATATAAGAATTAGCAGAACAGCAAAA